TCCTTAGCCCGTTAGTCTTTCCCACGTGTATGCACCCCAAGCAAAAGGCCATATGCAGGGAAGTTTTGAACAGGTTGCTTGAGGGAACGTGCGGTTCTTTGTAAATCCAGGACCCTGCAGACGATGGGTAAAGCCCCAGCAGTAACTCTGGCTTAAACTAGCCGGCATTTGCCCCTCAACCTCCCAGTGTCTTATTTCCTACTTTATGGCAACCTTCAATCATCCTGTAACCTTGTCTTATTGGGTCAGCTGTAAAAGGATTTGCTCCAAGGTCTGCCAAGACTACCAGATCAGCAGAATCTGAACTTGTTGGATCTGTCAGCAAAGGTTTTATTACTAGGAATCTTTAACTAATACATATTGGCTCACCTTTCTGGACTTTATTCTGCCTTGTAAACCTAACTAGATGTGCTGTCCCAGAGAGAGGAAACCACAGACAGGAGACACCGGCTGGAGACAGAAAAAAAGTGTGTTGCAAACAAGAGAAAGCTAATTTAGAGGGAAATCCACCAGGCAACACATGGAGGAGTGGGTGGGATCACCCTCTGAGGAATATTCTTAAACTTCTAGGAATGTCTAACAAGCCAAATAGATGCTTTTCTTGCTGAACTTTGTTTGCTGTGAAAGTATTTAACACCTGAACAGAGGTCTCTTAAAGTGCAGTTGTGGTGTTCTTATATACTGTCCCTTTTAAGAGCAGTGCGTGTTGAAGCTCGGCCATCTCCAGAAGGGGATTTGGCCCTTTTAAAAATGTCTTTATGCTCTGCGTGGGCCAAGCCCTCTGCTCTCGGGTGGCACAGGGAGCTGCACCATCCCACCCGGCTGGGGTGCTCCTGGCTAGGAGCTGACAGAATCTGCACGGCAAAAACCACTGTTCCTATGGTTAGTTCAAGCAGGACGATGTGGTGGGGCTCAAACACGTTTCCTTCCTTCCTCCCTCCCTCCGAAACGCTGTCACAAACCTTGCTTTCCTCCCTGTCTTTGGTTTTGATGTGACAGCTACTTGACCCTTTCTCAAGCGTTAGACAGTGTCTTTTCCTGCACTCCCAAAGGGCCTCCAGGTGCAGTAAACACAGGTCCTAAAACCGTCCCGTAGAGGTACAGGTCAAAAACATGGTTTAAAGGGAAAAACAATCTTGCAGAAGTCTTGACTGTGTGCAAGGCTCTGTGTTAAAGCCCAGTTCTTCCTGCTGCTTCAGGCTTCAGCCTTTCTCCAGAATGAGAGCAAGCAGGGCTCCTCTAAGACCGACTGGGGAGAGGGCAGGAAGAACAGCGAGCAAAATGTCCCCGATTTGCCCCAAGATTTCCAAATTCTACTTGCATTTTTCCAGCACAGCATCTTACAAGTGACTTCTCTGGCTGTGGCCAAGGCATCCTCCCTAGGCAATGGGGTGAGTCAGTATCGTAGCTATATTGCTTGAATTGCTCTTAAAGGGCACAGTATATACATTGTGTGAATATATATCTATATATATTGCAAGCCGCTGCATTTTACACAATCCTCCACTATGAAAAGTACTGAAATGTGAGGTCTAGTAAAAATCAAGTTCAAAGTAAACTGTAGAAACATAGGCTCTTTCTGACTGCTTCCAAAGTTTTGTCTTTTGTGGAGAGTTTTTCCTGCCACTTTCCTTTTTGGAAATAATTAGCTTCATGTCCTTTTTTACTGAGACTTTTTCCCCTCTGTCCACATAAGAAAGGAAAGAGAAATTTGACAGAATTGCTTCAGAAACAGAACTTTGTGCCGATACGCAGAGCAAAAACAAACCAAACAAAGTTATTTTTCCACAGTAGAAGTTGACTGGAACACATCACAGTCCTGAGCGTTGTGAAACACATCACTTTTGTAGCAGCTGTATACTTGATTGGGATTCCACTAGACCTTTGCATTTTTGTGGTTCGTATGCAGTACTTTCTTCATTGTGAATACTTAAGCACATGCACGCTCAGTGTAGCTTGCCTTTTCTTTGTAATTTTTCCATTTTTTAAAAAAAAGCTTTGTTATTCCTCTCTTTAAAATAATTTAAAACCTGTATAGTATTCAAAGCACGCAATGTAAATATTTATTACTCAGAAGTTAGTGGAGGGTTCTTTTTCTGTGACTAAGTTGTGTTTTTGTTTTTTAAATCTTGTTCTAATCCAGATGTCCAGTTTGAGGTTGCGAGAGGAGATCCGAGTGTAATATGTTGACCCCCCCTGTGCCCCCGACAGAATGTTTGGTTTTTGATGACTGTTATAAATATCTTTTAAAACGTCTCTGCTGACCTACACTTTCAGTTTTGAAGACACCTGTCCAAAGAACGTGTACAGTGTTTTGAGAACTGTAACCTTACAGCACTATAAATTGTTTTTTCCATTCAGAGAATTCAGTAATCTTGTGTTCAACAGTGGCATTAACATCCTGTGAGCGTGCAAAACTGCTAGCTATAGAAGTAGTAACTACTTTGTGCCTAGAGCATACGCAAGGATCCTTGCACGGTAACGTAGGACTGTTGCAGCGAGTGAACAAAGGAGCTTAGGGCTCAGTCTGTGATTGTGTAACTCGTGCAGCAGCAGTGAAGCTACTCTGTAAGGCTGTATGGAATTAAGGAACTGCAGACCGATCTGTCTCCTAGCTGTGCAGTTACGTATTGTACAACAGCATGGAATTTACTGTAACTTCCGATATGTAAGGAACTGTCTTAAAATATAACTTTCAGTACAATGTAGTTACTACTGAGTTGCACTTACGATGCGATCCCCTATCACTGTATTACGAAGCATTTTCTAGGAATGGATGCAAAAATAGTTGAAAGACTGGGGAAGGACACTCGATAGTAACATGGGCTGAAACCAACCAAGCTTTGTCAGCTCGCCCTAGTGCTTTATCCCGTCTCAGCCTGCACTTTATTAGACTACTAGAGGAGACTGAGGGTGCGGGTGTCCACTAGCCGAAGCCTGACTAGCGAATTGAGTTGGTACTGTCAGAACTAACCCAGCTGGCCACTGACCAGTAATAGTTTACTGCAATCGCAAGCAATTATTTCCTCACTTCTCCCATCTTCCTCATGCCATAATTGTGTGTTCGATGGGACAGGAACACTGACTTTTTGTTCTAATCTATAGAGAGCAAAATGTGTTGTAAAATACTAAAGACTTTGGTATGTAGGAAATAGATAAGGATTCTTAGGCTCTGACCCACATTCACCCTCTTGGGACCTGGAGTTCTGGGGTGACTTGAGATTACGAGAACTAATTTTTCTGAACCGATAGGGGTTTTTGGGGATAACAGGGAGTGGGAGAGGGAAATGTGGTTTTGGGTGATACCTGTGTAGCAGTCACAATAGACACAAGTCCAGACGATGTTTGATCTTCCTCACCTTCACGCTGCCAACGCAGTTGGGACTGAAGGTCTGCTTTGGCTCTTGCGCACACCTTTGGTCAGCTGCCCAGCCACAACTGGAAGAGCCTGAAAAATGCACCCTCCATTACCAACTGAATTGCAAGAGCTTCAGCCCTGGGGCAGATGGAAAGAAATCCCAAGGAGCTGTGCCTTATGGCGACACCCCCGAGTCCACTACAAGGTGACTACGTTTCTGCAGTGGGGCAAGAGGAAGGCAGCAGCCACCTGATCTGCTCCTTGGCTGAGTGGCAGTAACGACAGCAGATAAAGCCCTGAGGAGCATGTTGCTGGTGAATGCTTTTGAGGGTGGTGTACAAATCGGAGTAGATCTGGTGTGGTGAGGAGGGAAGTGGCCACGTGTTCTAAAAACCCAACCACCGGTGCTGCAGGTCTGAATGGTGCAAGGTAGGGTGAGGGGGTGGGGGGAGGGCTGGGGACTGCACCTGTCTGAGGAGTCATGCGTTAGACTTGATCCATGTCCTCTTGCAAAGGGGAACATGTGTTTGTTTGAGGCTTCTGTTTTACTGAGTATGAGCAGGAACTTCTCCCTTTCCTCTCTCCCTCTGGTTTTATTTCAGTGCTTTTTTTAAAGCCACTGTTCCCAATCAACTGTTCACTGTAATAGAAGTGTCACTTTTATCACAATATTTATTCCTTACAAATCCTGTGTGACATGCTAGGTTCCCATGGATGTAGCTGATCATTTTTATTTTGTAAATATAATTACCTAACTTTACATAAACTATATCGTAATAAACTATTTTTGCACCACCCTTTGCATGCTGCGTAGCAAGGTGTTTGTTTGAACAAGGATGTCTCTATGGAAGGGAAAGCACAGACAGGAGGACTTGAGCTTCTGAGTTAGCCAAATGCAACATCAGGCTTGCTGCGTGATGGGTTTTCCATCCTTAATACACCCGTCACATTTCTTAAAACAATGAGCATTGTATTATCTGTTAACAATACACTGACTCGAATGTTCCTGGATGGTGGGCTGCTGGAAAATGAGCTTCCCCTTTACTTGGCGCGCACAAGCTGTGGACGACTCCAGCCCAGCCACTGCTACTTTACCCTTGCAGGTTTACCTCAGTGGGTGTTTTAATCTTTTTGCCTTTCCCACAGGAGTCTCTGTTCCTCAATGAAGCATAAGTAGCATATAGAAATGGTGTGATCTGCACTCCAATAAACCCACCAGCCTTCTTTCTGCATGACACCTCAAAGAATTAACTAGGGCGTGTGAAATCTTTCAGCTATGCCATCCCCCAAGAGCAAGGAGTTGGAGACTATCTGGTTCCTTCACTGAAATGTGCGTTTCATACTGATGCACAATTAGGGCTTTCTCAGTCTTTCTTTAGATGTAGATCCTTCTAGCACTTCATGCTGAATAGAAAGCATGTATTTTCTGAGGTTTAAGCAGCCAAGATGCCTACATAGGTAAATCATTCACAGTTTAGATCCTGGTTTAAAGCTCTTTGACCCTCACCTTTCCTCTCCCACAATGCAGCGTGTTCAGAACAGATGACTGCATTTCACATCGTGCTCCCTCTGCTGACCGTGCTGTATCACAGCAGCAGATGAAGTGAACTTGGGTTTGCAAAAGCTTGTGCTCTACATATACAAATGCATCTTTTATAAAGTAACTAACTAAGATATCTACCCTGCCTTATATTGATTAAGCTCTCTTCCAAAAACTCTGCTTTCTGGTAGGTACTGATATAACAGTGAAAGCTTTTGAGCAAACTATGGTCCTGTAAGTCTGGTGAAACACTTAACTGTTATAAATAAAGGTAAGCACCCTTAAGTTCAGCTTTGCTATAAAACAGAACAGAAAAGCAAGTCGGAAGAGCAGTTAACACAACAAAAACCCTTTACTTTTACAACCAGCATCAAATCGAATCAAATCCCCCTGTCATCTCAGACACAGGCAGGTACCAGGACATTTAGATTCACTGCTTTATAAATGTTACCTTTCACTTTTACAATCAACTCTATACAATAGTGTTGTGGCAGATGGGGAAGCCTTTACTTTCAGGTTACTATTTCAACTGTACAGGTAGATGCAAATAAACTGGGTGAGCTGCTATATTACTTATTTGTTTTCACACCACAAGAGTTCAGGCCAGAAATGAGTAATAGATCATTATTCAAGGGAGCAGCACAGTGGGGGTGGACCCCTGGATATCCAGGGATCAAAAAAACCTGCATTAAAAAAAAGTGGAATAGCACATGTAGGGGCAGCGTGTGCCACTCAAAACCGGAGCCTGACCAGCCTGAGCTATGCTGCAGCTGCTGGCCAGGCTTTGAGCAGCAGGACTGCTGCTGCTTCAGCTGCAGGAGGCCCCCAGGGCTCAATGTCAGGCTGCTGGGGTCAGCCCAGTGCTGACCCCAGCCTCCTCTACCCCACCCAGGGTGACCAGCCACACGCCAGAGCGTGCGTGGCATGTGCATTTCCCAGGGACAACTAGCAGTAGCACATTTCCACACTTGCCTGGACGTGGCCATTATGGATATTTCTTAGGTTTGTCTAATGAGAAATACAGTTGGTTTGCAACAAGTCTAGAACTGTGCAACATGGAATTTTCATTTTCAAAAAATCCAGAAGCTATTGTGACAGGTACATCTGCATTCCATTCAGGTGATGACCTCACAAGGGGGTAAATTAACTTAAATGCTCAGTCCCAGCCAAAAAAAAAAAAAAGACCCATTGCTCCTAGCACCTAACATGAATCTGGGGGAGAAGGGTAGGTTCACGGAGAGGCTGGCAATCCCTCCTGGAATTTAAAGTGGGAAAGGCAGTAGCCCTGCATCCAGAAACCAGTCAGGCTGTTGATCTGGAAAGGCTACACTTGTATCTCTGCATATGCATCCTGTCCCCTATACACACTGGGATTTCCTTCTGTAGCTCAGCTCTCCAAGAGGCAGGGATCCAGCCACAGTCAGCCTTGTTCTCAAGATCATGCTTTTAAGGAGCCCTGCTGATCTGGGGGATCCTGTATCACTTTGGAGGCTACCCTGCACTAGTTGTTTTTTATGCAGACTGGCAAGTACCCTCTCCTGCTCTCCAACCCTCCAGGGAACTGCCTGAGACTGCTATTCCTAAACTAATGAAAAAGCAAATCTTGACAGCAGTCATGTCACAGGCAAAAATACTTATAAAGAATGCATTTTCCCTAAGCTTTCTCTGGCCCATTTTAAACATTAAATGTCTAGAGCATTTACCACTAACAATGTCATATACTACAGTCATTCTCTCTCCACATCACGGCTGTCCAACTTCTGGGCAACTGGGGGCAACATGAAGCGCAGGCTGTACACCCAAGGGCCGCATCCCCTGCCCCGTGCAGGCAACCCAGTATGCCCTCCATCCTGCTCAGCCCAGGCAGCCAGGCTCCTCCCAGCTGCAGGCGCAGCATCCCCTTCCCCTCCTGGCCACATGCTGCTCACCTGCAGTGTGTGAAGCCCTAGCCTGCCCTTTGTTGCACACAACACAAGCAGTCCAGTCCCCTCCTGTGCTGCACATGCAGTACAGGCAGCCCCTCACTCCCCACCCCCATGTAGCTTGGGCTCCCTGTTCCTTCCCCCTATACTGCTCTGCCAGGAAGCAGAAGCCAGAGGAGGAAGGGGGAGCCTAAAGAACCCAGTTGCACCTGGCAAGGGGTGGGGCAAACCCTGAAGGCCACATGCCAACTTTTGGGGGGCTGCACATGGCCCACAGGCCACAAGCTGAACCCTGCTCTACATGAACTATAGCTTTGCCCACAGCCCTCTATATTCTCCCGGTAGGACTCAGAAAGAAGACGTGCTTTTATGCTGCCAGTTTGAGACTCTCTATGCCTGCCCCCACAGCAATGGCCTGTACAAGGAATGGTACCTGCAATGCCACAAGGAGATAAACAGCTGTTCCGCTGCTGAAACACTCAGGATTGTTTAAACAGTCCAGACGTACCTTGCTTTTCCTGTCCTGCTCCAGTACATGTCAGTGAACGACCTTGAACTCCACCACCAGAGTTGCAACAGACCCTTACTGTTGTTAACACTCGCAAAATAATGTATCCAGGATGGTGGGTCATGCACTTTCATTTAGCTCACAATGAACTTGACTCTGCATGCTTCACTCTTGCAGAGAAGTTGAACTATATTGCAGCCCAATGGATGGGAATGTCTGGAAGCTCATAATGTGCTGGTCTTTGTAGCTATAAACTAAATACAGATGAGCTTGCTGCAAAGATCCCACTTGCCAAGGCTTCCTCCAGCTCCAAGGAACGGCTTGATTATTTCTGATTCTTTCCTTTGGGGAAAAACGTGTAATTGGCTGGATTGTACTCTTCCCAGATCCTTTCGAACTCTGCCAGGAAAGGCTTCACATATTCTGCGTCCTCCACGATCAGCACATTCTCCCGGTTGCTCTGAATGGCTTGAGTGGTCCAGTTGAGGGAGCCGGTGATGAGCATCTTCTGGTCCACAATAGCAAATTTGTGATGCATGTAGCCACTCTCCTGGTCGTGGCGCACCTGAATCCCTGCAAACCCGGAAGAAATGTTTTGATGCTTCCTCTTCAAGGGCACAACCAAAACCCACAGTGTTTTCCTAACTTGTAAACGAGCGGCTGCGCACCTGAGTACTCATTCACTTCAAGGACCCGTTAGCATTAGATGTCCTTCCTCCCCTGACCGCCACACACAATGGAAAATGCCACCTGCGCCACGAGTCCCCGAGGCCTGCTACATCGCCTCAATAGCTGGCTTTTCTGTTATCGGGCTGGAGCCACGACCCAGCTTGTTCGGGAAAGAGCCTGTCCCGAGTAACACGCAAAAACCCGGCTCTTCCACAGACCAGCGTCAGAGCACCACCCTCATCCTGGCTGCCTTCGCCTCCCTTCCAGACCCTGCCGCCTCCACCTCCAGGATCCCTCCCAACGGCCTTGCTCCCAGCCATCCCACAGGACCCCCTCCCCCCGCGCACCGGCCAGGCGCAGGCGGCCGATCTGGGAGCCGTTGACCGCCATGTAGTCGGAGTCGGCGGCGACGCGCCCGCGGACGCCGCGG